AAGTGAACGCCGTTACAGTTGTGGTGCTTTCCGCGCTGTGTGCCAGACCCAACAAGCGGCTGCCATGGCAGCGTCACAGCGACCACAGCGACAGCCCCATAGCTTGTTCCCCAAATCACCCAGACTCGGCCCAACGCTTGCAGGCGGCAGCGAGTGCGCTCTCAGCGTCTTCTTCCAGTCGCCTTTTGGGGAAAGGCTAAGTGCCTTGTAGTTTTGCAACTTCCCATCAGGTTCAAAAACGTTACCTCCTCTTCCTGAACAGATGTTCCCACGGCTCGTGATCAGCCTTGAGCTTTGCGGCTTGTAAATAGACCTCCCGTGATTCTCGCATCCACTTAGCAGCCCTCATCCAACTCTCGTTCTCCTGCACATACCTTGGCAGCTCATGTACAGGTACGTCGCCAAAGTCCATCGATCTGTGGTGCGACCATGGTTCTGGCGGCTTGCTGCGCAGCAGCGGGATCCGGTCTTGGCCTTTTGTAGGCGCTCTCATCAGCGCGTCCTCCGCCTCACGCCCCTCAGTGGCAATTCTCTGCACTCTCATTCGATGGGCTGCCTTGCCGAAGTTCGTTTTACGTCCGCCGCGAGCTTTGATTTCCTTCATTCTCTGTTCAAACCACTTGTCGGAGCGATTGTGAGACCAATGGATACGCGGGTCGAATCTCATATAACTTGGTCTGTAGGTTTTCTTCACAGCTCCAGCGGCGCCCACAGAGGCTGGGCCGGTGCCAACAAAGACTCCGTAGGGTGGTGGAAGTGCGTCAGGTTGGCCGTAGATCATAGCATCGAATCTACGCTCATCAAATGTACGACAAAGCTCAATCCGGCGATCTTCGCAGGTCAGCTTCTTGGAGATGGTGAGTTTCTCCGGACATGCGCAATTGGACGTGTCGATATCAACTTTGTTGTGAGGGGGACTGTGGCATCGCAGCGCCCCTGAACCCGTGCGACGGCTGTGTCCGAAGCACGGGGAAATGTCAGCCGCGTCAGCAAGACTAGGCTCATTAGGTGAAGACCCCGTTTCCATCTTGAGCTCACGGATAACTGTTAGATTATCATTCCCTCCTAACCAGCCAAGATCAGATACCGAGTCGTAGCACAGTTTTGACCTGCCAGGCTCCTCTGGGCTGTCATTTGCAGCGGCAGGTCGCGAGGTGGCGGGTGCAGATTCGACGATCGTCGTAGGCAGCAACCCCGATGGGCCGTTCAACGTGAGGCTGTAATTGCACCCAGCCAGTGCCGCATTGGATGGCGTGAAGTGGCGTGTCGGGTGCGCGCTTCTGCCTTGCCAAAGACTCTCCTTGGGATGTGACATCGCGACCGAATGGCAAGCTTCGGGTTGCGATGCCCGCCGCGGGCTTTGCCTCAAAGCAGCATCGAACGGTAAACTCTCGTGAACCCTGAATAGGGGGTTGGCTTGGCTTCCGTCGTCTAGTAAGGGTGTCAAATTGGGCGCCTTCGCCCTGCTTGACATCTTGTCTCGTGAGTACGATCTTCGCGCGAAAGGGCAGAGCTTGTTTTAAGATGGTATCAGTACTAGGGATGAATACTTTGTATACGCGTCGGGCAGGGAATTTATTGAATAGTCCTGACGCGCATACGGGAGGCAGACACCTTAGGTGCGTGGCATGTCGTGTTAGGGCATGGTGCTAGAGTGCTGATAAAAGAACAAGGTGATCTAGGTCTAATCAGTTCTAGCTTCGTTTTCTCCCCTCCAAGGAGCTGTGTGTGGGCATCGCTCTCTTTCGCCGACATGTACTTACACAGCCCAGCAAACATAAGCAGGGTAGCCGGATGGCTAACCCCGCCAAATCCGCTAGAACCAGGTCTGGAGTTTCTACACCGAGCTGTCGCAACATGCCCGTTGGAGACGCCGCCTCTCATCACTATCGATGCAGCTCTTGCCTCATGGCCCACGTCCTAACTGTGTTATATGAGGTGACTGGCCGCTGCGCTTGTGATGGGTTGACAACCGATGTGGCTTCGGCACCATGATCATCAATCGGTCACGAAGAGGTGGGGACACATGAACGGACGGCGCGTCATGACGACGTCAGCTAACAGCCTCATCTTAGCGATCGAGTAGAACGATTGGGGAGTCACATGAGCGACAGAGCCGAGCGAAAGTCGAACACGAGCAGAGGTTCATTTCACAATAGTAATAGAAACTTTGTAAAGAGGATCATGTAGTCTGGTGCCACTCTGATCAGGTACCAAATGTCTTCCCCGATAACTTGTTCGCCCCCATACAGTCAACCTATACTTAACGGCAGAAGCCAATAGTGGTAACGACCACATGCCGTATGGATGACGAGTTACTCACCAATAGAAATGGAGGATGAGAGCAAAGGAGTATCTCGGGGATAGATCCACTGGATCCTATGAAGGACAAGACTGTACACGGGATGAAGTACGATCCCTTACTCACCCTTAGCCATGCTTGCTACCATTCGCAAGGATGGCTTATTTGACTGAGGGGTCAATGATATCGCGTTGTTCCCTGAGTAACGTTCAAAGTTCAATAGAGGAAATCGTACGCGACCGCCGCTGGCCGACGAAGGCCAAGCCCTGGAGTACGGATCGCCATCTTGTGCAATGCACCAACGACGTTCCATCTCATGTTTCCAGCGCTAATACCTTCAGGCCTGGTATTGGTACGAGCGAATCGAAAGAGAGCGAGGAGAGAATTGCAGTTGCAGTAACGCACTGGAGCTGAGGTCTAATCTTATTCTCAAAAGACAGTCAGTCCCACGAGGTATCAGACCAGAGACTCATTTCGGACTAAGCTAGGCCCTGGTCTGGTGGTAGCGCTGGCACCGTGGGTGCAAATCGACGCCTGGGTGCGTGTGGGTCGTGCACAGCAAATTCACTTCTCCATGTTAGCAGACATCTTGTCCTCCCTAGCGGACCACGAGAGATGAAGCCGCCCGCATTGGACAAGGTCCAAGCTCATCTTTGCTTGCATGTTGGAGCTCGCCAGGGTCAGCTCAGATTGCCTCCATTCGACAAGGCTGGACTGACTGGTCGAGGCCACAGCCAGCCGATGATGTCCTCCGACAGCTCCCCCCGCCTTTCAATTTTTCGCGGCCCAAAGATCCAAACATCATTTAGGAACATGAGTCGATCCAATTCATCAAGATACTTGTCATCAAAGAATAGTGATTATGTCAACTGTCCACATCCGAAGCATACCGTCCGTCCTGGTTGCTATCTGTTGTTCATTGAATTGGTCGACAGAATTCGCACTGCACCGACGAGGTAGTCCAGAGATTGCTTGACGCGTCCAGGTCGGACCCTGTTTTGGCATTTTTCAAGCCGTTGCGCATGCTACGGTGACATTCTGTGCCCAACTCAATCATAGCCAGGAGGTCTTTAATCCCAGGGGTTACTACGAGCGCATCCAAAGACGGCGGAAATTGTTTGTGCCTCTAATTTTCCAATCGGGCGTACGGCTTGTCGCTAAAGAGCTTACCGGAGGCCCTTCCGTCGCTTTCAAAACGTTATGCAACCTCCGATGCCAATTCTCTTACCGGCTGTGGGACGCCGGAGATGTTTGGTTCGCGATTGCAGATAAACATGACGTTCTGAGACGAGTAGACTTCGGAAGCGACGGCATATTCGCCGTTGGCTTTGGGACTGAGTTGGACTCAATGTTGAAGTGCCCGTTCGTCTCCCGCAAAACCATTGTTCAACTGACAAGGAGTGAGGTGGAAACTATTCAAGGGCGAAGGGCGACCGGGCGGAAGCAGATGGTCTGCCGGAGAGGTTGTTTTCTGCTTTTTCTTCGAGCTGGTTCGATCTTCTCGTGCGAATGAGAGCGTCTTCGGGACGACACAAAAATGGGGTTTCTGTTTCAGGCGGGGTTGTTCCTGCTTCGCACACTAGGCCCCAGCGAACCGCCCACCTCTCATCAGGCAGATGGAAGTTGCACCACAAATACGGAGTATGGCGAAGACGACGCGATAGTAGACTTACATAGTCTGTTTTGGGATAGCCTGGAGTTCAACCCAGTTGTTACGTCAGTGGAGGACGGCAATAATGTAATCGATGAGGCTGAGCCTTTTTGCTGGAACAGCGGTAGCGAGAGCGGCGACTGCTCTTGGGAATGGGAGCAGCCACTGTCGGGAGACACTAACGAGAGTCCCTTTTTTCCACTGGGATGAACTGATCCCTAATATCCTAGAGGGGCATCTCGCCTTCTTATAGTTCTTCAAATCTGTCCTTCGGTCGACCACCGCGTGACTCTTTCTGGACACTGCGTACGCAATTCCCCACTTTCTCTATAGTTCCCACTTTTACTCCAAAATTGCTGGTCCATTTTGCTCACCCCGCATTTTGGGCCATCCCATCGTCTATCAACGAACGGTAAACTACAAGACTGCCTGCAGGTCTATGTTCCTCGTCGCCAAAGGCTGTCCGTCGCCAATCATTCCGCTGTTGGGCGATCTTATAATTTGTGCTGATCGACGGTGGCCCATAAGCCCATGTAACAGACACGCCGTGTTTTTAGGTCCATTGTTGTTAAGAGCAATTTTTGGGGCCATGGCCCAGCACAGAAGTGCTTATCTGCAAGACAAAGTAGTGCACCTTTTATCGATAAGAGCGATAAGGACAGAGGACTGGCAGCGCGACAGACTAACCTGTATAGGTTAGCAGCATAAGACCCAAATGGGGGTTGAGTACTGTGGATCTGGGGATTCAATGAGCGAGTGAGAACGAGACTGGTCGAACCGGGGTGAGTGGACGGGAGGCCTATAAAAAGGCAGACATGCCCAATGCCCCCAAACGATGGTTAGACAGGCAGGCAACCTTTCATCGCTCCTAAACACTTTCTGGGGGGTTTTTTTTTGCCTACACTCTTCGGTTGAGATTGAAAGTATTTCCGCACAGGCTGTGGGCAGCCATCCAAACGAGACTTGGATTTTGATCTACTAATAACCGGGAGGGTTATCGACGACTCGAAGTCGTACGTGAGACGGTCTCTTTGAGTGCCCAAAAGCCACGGTGAGTGTTGTGTCGCAGTGAGCGGGCAGCTCATCTGGTTATTTATCTGTTAGGTGGAAGTGGACTGACACTGAGTGTGAACTCAAGCCAACCGAGAGGATGGAGACAGGTCTGTTCTTAGACGGAGTCTTTGTTGGACCCGGACCCTTGGAGGGGTCAGCTGCACTCGATGTGGCCGGAGCCGAACCACAGAGCATTCCTACGCTGAGAAGCTGGTGTCCCGTGGGACAGGAGAATCACTTTTTGCTGTGCTATGGGGAGCAGTGCCCCTACCATACTGCGGAGAAGGAGTCTTTGGGGTATTACCCCCAACGGAGATGGAATTGGCAGCCCCGGCTGTCGAACCTTGTGGATTTTCTTGCCTGGCGTGAGCAGGAAGGCGATAGTTGGCCTATGGAGGCCGACAGTCGCAACTCGTGGACGGTGTTGCGTAAGGAACACCAGATGAAGGAGGACGGGAGGGTCCTCTGGGAAGACACGGTATTATGTTGCAGCAAAGCCGGTCAGTTCATTTTTGTCGAGTGTTGGCAGCGAGTCGTGGATAAGAGGGGAGTCGAATTTAGTCGGAGACGTGATTCCAAGTGGAATTTTGTTATTCAGAGAAAATACGAGGACGGGATGTCCTTAGCCGAAAAGGAGTTTGTCATTTTCGGACATGTCGGCCGCATCTGGTACGGCGAGCCAGGATCGTGGGTGTATGATGCCCTGGCAGATAACGACTTTATTATTCGTCCGAGGGACGACGAGCACACGATTTGGATTACGGGGAAGCCTGACGCCGGGTCCAAGAGATTGATCTATGTGTAGACAGATAGTGTTGAATTTGATTTGACTTGACCAGGTTTGAGATTCTTTTGATGTGAGTTTGTATGGTTAAGCACAAATACCTCGATTTTGTTGTTTATCATAGTCATCGCCCATATGATGGTTACTCTGGTATGATTGAGATTGACTTGATTCTGTTCCTTACTCTGTGACAATTGGCTGTTCACCTCCGGAGAACACAAGCAAGGATGTGAAGAAGCAGTATGGGGCGGAGCCCTGTGAGACCGGAGTTGGAGGCGTAGGTAATCAAAGGTTAGGTCGGTCAGCTAAGGTCAGGTGTTAGTTTCTAATCACCATCTCTTTGATCCCTATGGTGGTAAACCACCTTCGTGATGACTTCGTTCCTGCTTCACTCGCACTACGCCTCCCCCCGGTTCCCACAGCGTTCACTCGCACTGCTCTCCGGTGTTTACACGCCTGCGTTTCGCTTCCGTTGCACTTACTACGCGGCCTGGAAGGCCTTTGCTCCTCGTCGCCGAGGGCTGTCCGTCGTCAATCAACCCCGCGCAGGTGGGAAACAAATTCTCTCGCAAGCAGCAATGGCGTACTATCGCAGAACCCAACGGAGTTGGTACGCACGCAGAAAATAACGGAGGTCGACTGTTGGATACGATCGGCGCAAGGATGGTGCTCAAGTGAGAAGCACCTCTTCAATGAGAACATTGGAGGCTCAGAGCCTGGGAGAGGCTGCAAACACGGTGTTCGATTCGCCGGGTGGCGCCCGGATCACTTTTTCTGCGTCTGGTGACCGGCAAGGCCAAAACTATTGGGGAATTCCTGTTAGTGCCATGTTGAGGATCTACATGGAACAAAATACGGTTTCGAAACTGCACCTCACTGGAATCTCCCTGGAAGGCGATGTGTACGCCAATGCGGACATCGAACTGTTTGCTGTGAACATCCCGGGGACGTTGAGTACGCCCAGCCCGGTACAGATTCAGCCGGAGGATAAGAGGTTTCAATTTGGTTATGGAGACCCTTCCCTCTTGGGTCGGATGGACAACCCCCGGACGAAGGAATTGACGTCTGCTGAGTTTAGCGCACTGGCTCAGGATAGCAGCATTTTTGAAGCCTCGTTGCACAGCGACAAGTCTAGTCGTGCTGTGGTTTGTGAGGCCAAGGGTACTGGGGTGAAGCCTATCTGTCACAAGAGTGGCAGGGCTACGATGCTGCTTTCTAAGCGATCCGTTGACTCGTCTACGGCATATCACGTCTGGAAGATGTCGGCCAGGTGGTACTGGCGTGTGAACCATTCGCTCAGCTTGTCAGCCGTGAAGGAGAAGAACGGTGTTGTGTTGGACTACAACTCTGTCTTGTTTATGGGTGTGCGCCCGACTACGGAGACTACCCTCCATGGTGTAAAGAGCGAGGGCGGTGGCAACACTGGAGCGTTCGGATACCTGGAAAGTTTCCGTGTTACTTTATACTTGCGGCGGGGGATGATTTAAAGCGTTAAATTAGTTTGCATGTAGTTTAGAAACGGAGCGATTTGGCTTTGCAATTGAGTTACTCGTCTAAAGTAAGAACGTGCTGAACTGTGATCTTGATATGGTACGGGTTGCCGCCCTCATCTCATCAGCGGCGTGGGCTTTATGTAGTCACATGTGTTGACAGGGTTAACGCTGCATCGCCTGCTTGACACCCTCAAACGAAGGGAGCAATGCTTAAGTTCCACGCTACCGTATCCGGTGCTACAGGGATTCGACGAAAGGCTGCCTCGGCATCAGCAGCATAGTCGTC